TCCGCCTGGCGCCGTCGTTATTTGTTTTTCGGCGCCAGGCTAAGACCTTTTTATTTAAGCAACATTTTAAATGCTAAATACAATTGAATTTTATCTGGCCAGGGCGGCTTATTTTATAATGTGAGTTTTAATTAAGATTATTTTATATGGATTTTAACTTGTTTTATCTATGTTGTAAGCCGCCCCGAGGCTTCGGCGAATGGGGCGGCATAAAAATGTTTTAATAAATAAAAATAAATAAAATGTTTTAATAAATAAATTAAATAAATAAAACAATTGACAGCAAAAGGAAAGGGGGAAGGCAGAGGATGAGGTGGCTGGATGGAGTCACTGAGGCAGTGGGTATGAGCTTGGGTGGACTCCGAGGGATGATGGAGGACAGGAGAGCCTGGAGGAATGTTGTCCATGGGGGCCCAACTTAGCAACTAAACAACAACGATCTAGTATCAGCCCACTCCATTACCCCTCCAAAGTGTGCGGCCCCTCGAAGGCGAGCAACACCATCTGACTGAGGACTGCAGTTCCTGATCCAGCAGATGAGGCGGGTGAATGGTTGCTTCCACACACGACTGCCTTCAGGGGAACTGAGGGTGGAGGCAGGGCATGCCCGGAGGAGGAGGAGCTGCCTGTCTGTCCGTGGAGCCCGATCGCCGTGGCTCTGCATTGGCTCCAGAGTGCCGGGGAGCGTGAGTGGGAGCTCCTGCCACCACAGGGCTGCCCTCCCATTAGGCTGAATGGCATGGCAACCGCAAGCTGCGGGCACCATGAGGCAGCCGTGAACAGCTGCAGGACGGGCCTGTTGGGCTGCGCAGGCCTGCCCCCAGTTCCCTAAGCTGCCTTGCCGTCTTCAGGTGCGGTGAAGCAAGGAGCCGTCCGGTTGCTGCTGCTGCAGGTGCAGCCCCCACTCTGGTCAGCAGCTGCATGTGGTGCGGAGGAGCACCCTATGAGGCTTCTCTTGGGCCAGCTCGGTGCTGCAGCCATGTCCTATTTACAGGTTTCCTGCGGGCCGCTGGTTTTCTAGGTGGACTCTTGGTCTGAGCCAGTGCAGCTCTTCTTACATTCTGAAGAAAAGAGGGGAAAGAAGGGGCAGAGGGTTTCTCTTCTTTCTTAACACTTCCTCTGTGAGGATGAAGCATAAAATACGCCCCCCCCCACCATAGATGCTGAGCAGATAATTCACAAATGGGTAATATTTCATGGGTGTTGTACTAGTAATATTTAAATACATTTCATATGCATGATTTCTTATTTAACCATAATTTATAACAGGAACCTTGTTTGGCAGGGAAAGAGGCAAGGTTGTGAAAGTTTGTGAGGCAGCATCCTCTGTATGAGGATTAATCTGCTTCAAAGTGAACTGTGAAGATAAAGAGATCCAGGCTTCACTGAAGCCCACAGGATTTAATTCTTTCTGTTTACACTGTCCATCCTCTACATTTACACTACATAAAAAGCAACTTGCTGCATTGCTACTCGCCACTTACTGTTTTTGTGCCCTGCTGAAATCCACTATTTCAAACACAGTAAGTAGCCTTGGGTAGCTTTAGAAAATAGTCTTTGCTTTGAAAAACTGCAAAGACAAATGCTGAGAAAGATTTTCCTTTTCAGGAAGAAGACAATAAACTCTGATGAAGAATATTTGCATGACTGAGACAGAAAACTATATGGGAAACTGGTCATACCCTGGTGGGGCCTCATTCTCCCCATTCCTGCCTCTTGTAATGACCCGGGCCTCAGCTCTGGTTCCAAGCATGGGAAGGACGGTTGGATGCATTTCCAAGGTCAGATCTGGAATTGACCTTTCCTGCGACCATTTGGGCAGCATCAAGCTGCTGCAGGATTACTTCTCATGAATTCCAACATCATTTTTAAAGGCATTTGCTTCCCATGCTGAAGATAGTACAGGGTAGTGATTAGAGTATAAACTAGGACCCTGGGGCAACCCAGGTGTCTCACAGGGCTGTTGTAAAGGCAGAAATAGAAGGATATGCCAGTTTGAGTATAATAAAACTATATTTTGATATTCAGTCACAGAACAATTAAAATTGTTAATTGATCGAACAAATCCTTTGACACCCCCCCCCTTATATGTTGGTTTTTATCAAAATGATGTAGCAGTCCTTGCAGTGGTACAAGTCAAGGGGCTAACAAAGGATTACCTCCCAATGTTCAGCCAAAATTCCTCCAGTTAATTTCTCCTAGTATTGCTGGAGATGTTCAAAGTTCCATGTGAGTTTTCCCATAGGATAACAGGAAACATTGCTGCACAGGGTGAAGGAATTGTGTGAATTGGCCCTTTGTGGCAACTAAAAATGATATATCCACAATATACTCCGGTGACCATCACATCTACACAGTACTTATTCCTAATGCTAAAAACGCTTCCCACATGAGGGAATTTCTAGATAAGGAGGGCTATCTTACGCGTAGGGTCCATCTAGTCCAGCATCCTGCTCATGCAGTGGCCAGCCAGTTGCCCACAAGAACCCGCAAGCACGACATGAGTGCTCTGGCACCATCCCACCCATGCATTCCAGGATCTGGTGGCGTTCTGCCTCTGATACTGAAGGGGGCATAGAGCCAAAAGGACTAGTGGCCATCGATCGCCTTATCATAGAACAGTAGAGTCAGAAGCGGCCAAGAAGGCCATTGAGTCCACCTCCCTGCTGCTGCAGGTCCCCACTTTACACCATCCCACTCAGTTGCCCATGAACCCGTCCAATCTCTTTATAACATCTCAAACTGAAACCTGATCCTTATGGAGTTCCTGCAATTGCATATTCTTTTAACTATCCTAAATAATTTGGTGGTGTCGGTAAACTTCACCACTTCGCTGTTCATTCCAATTCATTTATAAATAAGGTGAAAAGAAGTAACCCAAATGCAGGTCCCTGTGGGAGAATCTACCATTTATTCCGGTTCTGCATTTTCTGTTCTCTAATGAAATACTGATTGGTAAGAGAACCTCTCTTATTCCATGACCATTAAGTTTACTCAGGTTTACTCACCATTATTACTCACCTCTCTTATTCCATGACCATTAAGTTTACTCACCAGTACCTCTGGTGAGAGGCTTTGTCAAAAGCTTTTTGGGTGTCCAAGCAAGCGATCTTTAACAGAAAACCTCTGCCCACATGTTTACTGGCACTCTCAAAAACTCTAAAAGGTTAATAGGACATGATTTACCTTTTCAGAAGCTATTTTGATTCTTACTCAGCAGAACTTGTTCTTCTATAGGCCTCCTAATTCTATCTTTAATTCTGCTTTCAACCAATTTACCAGAACAACATTTTACACTAACTGGCCTGTAATTTCCTGGATTGGACAATCAGAAACATTTTCATTGCTTCTTCCCAGCTTCCTAGGGATCAGTTTAAAAGCTCTTGTGCCAGCATTTTTATGCTTAGCACTAGCAATCTAGTTCTGCTTGGGTTCAAGTGGAGATTATTCCCCTGCTGCAGGCCCAGCTGGTCCAAAATGTTCCCGAGTGCCTAACAAAGCCTGGGAACCCGTCTTCCCGGCACCATTCATCTACACCTGGAGGATCCTCAGCTCTGGCCGATTAGCTGCCCCTGTGCAGGGAACAGGTAGCATTTCAAGGAAAGCCACCTTAGTGGTCCAAAATTTCAGCCGTCTAACTAGCAGCTTACATTTGGCTTCCAGAACTCCATAATGTTTCCCCATGCCATGCCACTGGAGTCAAAATGAACCACAACAAACATGATGTAGGCGATTTAACCACATGATCTACACACCCATCACAAACCCAGCCAATCAATGCATCTAATGATGGAATCTCCCTCCGCCATGAGATCCTCACACCATTTCCCAGAGGCACATCCTCAACTTCAGAGGATATGTGGTCACCTTCTGAGGAACAGGTTCTCTCATAGCAGCATTTACAACAATAAGTAAAACTGTTCCTTAAAAACAACTGACAACCAGCCCATGCAAACAAATTTCTTCAAAAATATTTTAGTATATGAATGGCAAAAGTGTCATTTCAGGGTTCGGGTGATGGGATGGGGGTGTGGGAAGTGGCAAAATATATTCTAATGCAGGAGTGTAAGCTTCACAGCATGTTTCAACATTTAACTGGAAGCCTAGATCTGTTCGAAGAACCTTATATTGTACACTTGTCATAGACACAGGAGGTGGTTGGCAGCCCCTGAGTTCCCTCAGAAGGTAAATGCTTGCATGGGGTGAATTGTAAATACAGAACAGAACACTAAACAATAAGCTTTGCGCCAAGTTCTCTGCTGCATCATGCCTGCTTCGTTGGTTGGTTGGTTGGTTGGTTGGTTGGTTGTTGAAAGATAAAAGGGATTCTTTGTGCCTCTACTGCTCTCTTCTTAAGCCAAAGGGATTTGGAATTGAGCTAAAACTTGGAAAGCAATAAACAATGTGATTCTGTTTTAGACTTGCATGCTTGTGCCCCCATGAGCCAAATGCAGCCTAGCTATCACAGCCTGCAAGGTGCCGGATAGCCTTCCTGTTCTGGCACTCCCAAGCAGGTAGGTAAACATGGCCTTGATTAGCTCCAGCTGAATGTCTGTCCATGGCTGTCAGGCTGTGCTCAGCTTGGTAAGTGGCAAGTTGTGCAGCTCTGCCCTGCAGAGGTTGTTGTCCTGGGGAAATGTAACTGGTTAGAGGCATAATCCTATGCATGTTTGGAGAGAAAAAGCGCCTACAACTCCAACTGCCCCAGTTAACAGAACTGGCTGGGGCATACTCGGGTTTGTAGGACCTTTTTATAGGATTGTGTCCTAAATGGCTCAATTTGCAATCTCTTTCTAAAAAGAGAATTCTGTTTCTAAATTAGCATCTCTTTGCAAAATTCAGCAGCATAAGGCACAACAGTTGACCCACTGAATTCCAGGATGAACCCAATGGGGCACAGTTACTAACAGCTGATCAGGAACTCACTGCGTCGATGCATTGTCACAAACATCCAAATTCTTTTGTGCTCCAACTCATGTTCTTCTCATTCTGAATTTTAGGTTGTACCAGGTGAATTTTGATGCTCCCACCTGTGAAGGCAAACGAGAAAAACTCTCACTAATAGGCGACTTTTCTTCTTCTGCGGAATTCTTTGTCACTATTGCAGTCTTTGCCTTCCTCTACTCCTTGGCAGCCACAGTGGTCTACATTTTCTTCCAGAACAAATACCGTGAAAACAACAGGGGGCCCTTGATTGTAAGTGTGCGCCTCAATGACATCGAGAGCTTTGTCCTTTTAACCCTTTTGATGGTTTAATCTTTCAATATTCTCCATTGCGTTGGATTGAATTCTGTTGTGTTAAAATGAAGCAGGTCTTTCTTGCACACAAACACTTACTCACATATGGTCCCCAATCATTGCTGAAAGGGATCACAGAGGAAATCAATCGTTCTTCATCAAAACCGCCATTTGTTTTCCAACATAATCATGGCTGCGGTATATACTACCCCTGCTATTTCTGCTACCATTGCTATAGGATAAGTACATGTTTACTGAGCACCAAGAACTTGGTGGGTACCACAGAGAATACATAAATGTTATAGTTCTTGTCAACATTCAAGGAATTCTGTTAATATTAAGCAGAAAAAGACTCAGAATAGGCCATGAACTAACCCTGAAGAGACAGGATGAGAGCAGTTAAAAGGCATATGAGTCATGTCATTCAGAGAAGAGTTTGTGAAACATTGAGAAGGAGACACACTTCCCAAGTGAAAGGGACAGGAATGATGTAAAGTATGGAGGCCCAAATGGGCCAAGGTAATGGAGTGAGCTGATACTAGATTGTTGTTGTTTAGTCGCAAAGTTGTGCCCAACCCATCACGACCCCATGGACAACAATCCTCCAGGCTCTCCTGTCCTCCACCCCCACCCCCCTGGAGTCCACTTAAGCTCATGCCGACTGCTTCAGTGACTCCATCTAGCCATCTCATTCTCTGCCATCCTCTTTTTCTTTTGTCGTCAGTTGTTCCCAGCATTAGGCTCTTCTCCAGGGAGTCCTTCCTTCTCATTAGGTGGCCAAAGTATTTGAGTTTCATCTTCAGCATCTGGCCTTCGAAAGAGCAGTCAGGGTTGATTTCCTTTCAGGGTTGATTTCTTGCTACTAGATAGTCTTGACCAAAAGAAATGAGAAATATTATAAGGGTGTGTCAGGAAAGAAGAACATGTAATTAGGGAAAAGTGATAGGAAGCTTTGAGGGCAACAGAGGTAGCCAGTGCAAGGCCTTCAAAAGCGTGCTTCTTATGAGAAATAAGAGAACAGTTCAGAGGTATTCTGAACTGAGTAGAGTGATATAGGAGGAGGAGATGCTAACATGAAGGAACATCTGTAGAGATAGCGAGGTCATGAAAAGGCATTTTAGCAGATAAATCAATATGAGTAGGAAAGAGAGGTCATACAGACACAGAAAATACGGAAAGAGAGACTGAGAAACCATTTGGCTATCGGAAGAGAGGTTTACATGATTCACATGGTAGGGATGTCAGTCCTCCATAGAAAGAAAGACATGAAGGGTAACTGGGAAAACAAAACGATGCTCATCTGACTGTCTTCAGATGGTGGGACCTGGCACAAAACAAACAGATTAGTCAGAAAGTGAAGGGTACAAAATAAAAATCTGAGAGCCCTCCTATAGTGGCAATGGTTGCATGGAGGGAGCTGTAAACTGTTTTTTAATCATTTGTGCTCAAACAGTTGCAGGCTTCCAGAACAGGAAAGTACAGACCTTACAGGCATGTAAGGAGTGACCTATGAATCCTTCCATTTTGGCAGCTTGCCTGTCAAAGCCACACAGTTCCAGTAGGGAAGAGAGCTTGCCCACTGGGAATGGGGGGCTTGCACCATGTGCCGTGAGCCTGTCACAATGTGCTGCTAACACAGCCAGTTTTGTGGAGCAGTAAATGCTTCGTGTGTGTTGGCAAATTTCTGTAATCGCAGTGAAATTCCTCATGCAGTCCACCCCCACAATGTTCAGCCCCAAAACACATGCAGTCAGGTTTTAATTCCTAATAGGATACACAATTTTTGCATGCCAATGAAACATTTTTGCTCCCTCCTCACCCTGGCAAGAGGCCCACAGGGCACAGTGGAGCAAGGCAAAGTTCCAGGTGAGCAACTTGCTCAGGTGAAGTTTAAGACTGGGCTGATCCTCACGATGCCTCCACCCTGCCTAGGTTCCCCCTAAGCCTTGAGGAGTGGAAGATCTTGAAGGTGCAGGCCTCGGTCTTGGAGCCAAGCACTCCTCTCACTTTACATAGAAACATAGAAACAGAGCGAGTCAGAAGGGGTCTCCCAGGCCATCTAGTCAGACCTCCAGCACCAGCCGGCTCCGCTCACGACATGCCCACCGTGTGGATGCTCACCCATGCAGCCAGGCTGAGATGGGGACACCGGTCTTTGGGGGTGGCTGGCCAGTTCCTCAGGACATTCAGCCTATGGAGATACAGGTTCTGGAAGTGCTCATTCAATAGTTTCAAACTCAGGTTCTCCCAAGCTGAGGGGCTTGGGCTCAGGTGTGGTCATGACACAGGGACTTGGGGTGGCTTCCAGCTGCGGGAGATGCTGGTGTCTCTGGTCTGGCCAGCCCTCTCCTTACCTGAGGCAGGGCCCACACACTCACTCCGACCCAGCCCCATGGAGAGGGAACCAAGTCTGCTGCCTGAGAAAGAGAATTGAAAAGCTCTACCAGAAGATCTGAGGGTATGTCTGCATCTAAGAAATGTTGCAAACTTTTTAAAAGAAGCCAGTGGAGTGGGAGGTGCAGTTCTTGATTCCAACAGGGAAAGCTACAGAACTGTTGGAGTATTAATTAGATAAGCTTGACTCGATTAAAAATAAGCAGCCCTAAAATGTGCTTTGAGATTGATAGGGGCTACAACATTTAAATTTCCCCAAAGTTCCAAGAAATCCTGCATAAGACTCCAGTAATTAAAAAAAAGGACTGCACTCAAATCAATATCAGTGATTACCCTGTATCAATTATTCATGGAAAGACAAATGTATTTGGGGTATTTTTGCTGAGAGTTTAAAGCAAACTTTATTTTCATTGTAGATTGATTCTTTTCTTTTTCACGCAAGTAGCAATTTAAAAAATCACATGAACCAGAGTCAATATTTTTCTAATGAAAAATCCTTCATTTCCACCAAAATAATCTAATGTGAGCATATAACAACTAGCATGCTGTGGCCACTCAATACATTTTTAATGATAAGAAAGATTTCGTGGCTTCTTTGAACCTGCAGGGGGCTTCACTCCCCTGTGGAACGGAGAGCTGTGGGGTAGTTCTGAGGGGTGATTGCATTTAAGGGGTTCAGACCACTAAGGAACACAGAACATGAAACACTTGAACAGCAAATTGGCCCTTGGGCCAAACAAAGGTCAGTAAATCGGCCCTTTGGGGGGAAACAAGAGGGCAACTCCTTATAGAGGGCCAACAAACATTCAACTTAAATGACAAAGGTCTTAATTTAGGTTAAACTTAAAAGACCAAGTACACAAAAGAGTATTTCACCATAATTAGAAGTGTAAGGGCAGTCCCACACAAGAGCAAGTCACTTTCTCTTTCTGAAAAAGAACAAAAGATGACATACCTAGAAGAGACTTATTGGAATCACTGTGACTTAGCTTGGGCATAATTAACTTCATTTTAGTGGCCAGGTTCAGACGACTGGGTGTGCCACAGGATTTGCCTAATTGCCCTTGCCGCATCTGGCTTTCCGTGTCATTTGAACCTGGTGGGGTGCTTGGTGGGGATGGCTTCGAAACCACCCCAGGACCCACGGTTTGTAGCAAGGTTCTGGGGTCGCCTTGAAGTCCACCACTGCACATCTTGCTCGCTTCAACAATACAGCAAGCGATGCGTCTCAGTGGTAATCAGCCAGATCACACGCTGCGTGCCCAGCATGCCACTGTGGCTTCTTTTCCTCACGATCATCTGAACCTGGCCAGTGACTGGGTTTGCATGACACAGGAGGCCGCTGTGGCTTGGTCTATTGTCCAAATCTGGGTCTGTTTTGTCAGGGTGGCTCAAGCTTGGTTTAGGGTTAAACCATAGCCTGCTGCAGGGTTAGTTCGCCCCATGGTGGCTTGCTGCATCATCCAGACAATCCACTGAGGGGCAAGCCAAACGGCTACAGTCATGTGGTCAGAGCAGCACAAAAAGAGCTGCTGCTCTGGGCAAGTGCCAGTGACAACCACCACAACACACCCAAGTGTCCCTTTGCTGCAGTCACCAGCCAAAAAGCCATGTAGTTTGAAGCCGAGCAGAATGTACTGCTCCCCCTCCTGGCAATCTTGCTCTGCCAGAATCGCTCCTGACATCCCGGCCTGCTGTTTTGGGCTGTCACGGGTGAGGGAAGAGGGCCCAACGACCTCCCACTGCGACAGCCAGCTTTTCAGCCTACTTGCGAGTAGACTAAGTGATGGGATCTCCCCATTCTTCTCCTTCTCACTGCTGCTGTCAAGAAGCAACACAATAGGAGCCTGGCGTGCTTCAGGTGTGAGCAGTTAGAATATGATCTTTGTTCCACGATGGCTTCCATTGGTGACCTTCAGTAATCAGCTGATAGGTTAACACAATTGTTGTCAGTCAAGAGTGGCTTGCCACCAACCAAGCCTCCTTTGGAGGTGAGGCAAACCCCAGATCAGGATCATACTGTGCAGGTAGATAGAGGACAGGAGAGGTGCTCCATCAGGTAACATGGTCCCAACTCATGTAGGGCTTTATATGTTAAGAGAAGTAGGCACGAGATCTTGAACTGGGCTCAGAAGCATATAGGCAGCCTGTGCACGTGAGCCAGAAATGGTGTTAGATGTTCAGACTGTGTGGTCCCTGTTATTCATTTGCCTGCTGCATTTTGCACAAGCTGCAGTTCCAAACAATCTTCAAGGGCAGCCCCACGTAGAGTACATTGCAGGAGTCTAGTTTAGCGATTACCGGAGCATGGATTACTGCTAACAGGCTATCTCTGTTCAGACAGGGGAGTACCTGGGCCACCGGCCTGGTAGAAGGCACTCTGAGCCACCAGTGCCCCCTGAGCATCAAGTGACAAGGATGGCTCAAGGAGCACACCAAGCTACACACCTGCTCCTTCAAAGGGAGTGCAGCACCATCTAGAACAGGTTAAATCCCCTCCATCTGGTCATAAGAACCACCAAGTGATAGCAGAGACTCATGACTGAACCCTACACACTAGTGAGAAGCTTTCAGTGGCTGTATTCAGTATTGATCTTCCTTCCAGTCACACCATCACCAAATGCTTTATTTCCACCTTCCCATCCACAACAGAGATGGGCTGTTTGCCTGGTTTTGGTTTCCTTTGGAAGGAGCCACTGCAAGTTGATGGTGCTTGGTGATATTTGAGTTTATTGACAACTAAACCAGTTGAGTACAGGTGAAGACACCACTTAAATGTTCCAACAAATACACAGATCTGTTGGCTTTTACCACACCCCTGGCAGGGGCAGCCTCCAAAACTCTTACAGAGCTCACTCCCTCATTTCCACTTTGGGGCCTGCCCCCTTTCTTTCCTTTCTCACTCCTGGAGATGCAACCTGTTTTTCCTCATTCGGAAGATGTAAGGCAAATGAAGTCAGTCCCATGGATATAAATCATTTTAATATGCTGGACCATTGACACTCCTTTGTAGCATCCAAGGCAACCTCTAGTTGCAGTCCTATTCACAGAAGTCCAAAAGGAAACCCACAACGGTACAGTGATCATCAAAATCCCCCTTCTTAAAAATTTGAGAGTTGTCTTGGGCACAACTCTCAGGATAGAATAGACTGACAAGGCTGTAGCTTCCGCTTGAAAACATGGGCAACTTTTTTAAAAAACCTGAACAGATGATAAGGCTGGATACAGAGATCATGGAGAACCTGGGCACTGTCCTTTTCTACTTCCCAATATGGCTTCAGTTGGAGCAACTGGGTCCGCTAATGGGACAGAGAGCCTAGACAGATTGTCAAATTTAGGGATGTTTGACTGATGCAAACATGTATGGATTGGCTTCAGCAATGATCACATTTTAAAAAGAGGGAAGGAGTGTGTTTAAATTCCCTTTGAAGAAGCCCTACGTGCACTTAACCTTAATGAGGTTACATTTGTACAAGCATATTGAAGGGTACAGGCGACATCCATGATGTGCCAAAATAATATGGTCTGTCAGGCTGCAACTAATCCAATAGCCCCAGTACCTGAGCTCTCACACTTTATGATTCAGTCATTTTCAGGCAAGATAATCCTAATTAACAGAGGTCGAGACAGAACCTTAATGCCTCAGCTTGCTCTCCTCTTTTTAATCATGTGTTTTTACTAGACCATGAACCAAAAATAAACAATAGTAATAAACCAGACTGAAGTTGTAATGGTGACATTTTCATTGCCTACAATCTGTGGAAATAATTAGATCAGCTATCATATTCTGTATAAATCAGCCTTATGTTTCCATGCGTTGTCAAGGAAAAGCCAACAATGATAATCAAAAGTCTGTCGGAAATGGAAACTTGTTTATCGATTTATGCTTTTTTTCACCCATGTTTCCTGTGAAGCACTTGGGGCAGTTTCCCTGTTTAACCCTGCAACAACCCTGAGAAGTAGACACACTGGTAAAGATTAAAATGCAGTCCTTTCCAATCACTGGTTGTTCATGCAGACGTGGGTTGTATGAGCAATGCAAACACGAACTTGGCATCGTGCCTTGGAAAGCGGATCTATGCTGTCCTCCGTGTAGGGCTGCTGTGAAGCCTGCCTTCCCCACTCGCCTTTTCTGTAACATTTAAGCACACTTGCTTGTCATGCAATTTAATCTCGGGGTGCCATTTCCTGGCAAAAGGGGTGTGTGTAAATGCACAGTGTGATGATGGCACAACTCAGGTCCATGTGCTTGTGGAGGACCTCTGCAAGAACAGCTCCATAGATGCGTGTTTGTTTCCCGGCAAGTTTACATTTCTTATTTAAGCCTGTTACTAACCGAGTGTTATATACTATGTAGTATTTTTCTTTGATTAGACGTCTCAGTGAGAATCCCCTGCACGAGCTCTGATACCCTGCTGCGCAGTATTTTAATATTTAAATATCTGCACTGAGCTGCTTGGCTGCAAAGGAAGCGGAAGTGAGACAACCACTTGTCCCAAGGATTATTGCCACATGTTCATGCATTTGGGGCAGCGTGTTGTTTTCATGCCTGTCATTTTTATGTTTGCCTTTTTCAAAAACACAGCACAGCACACCAAGACACAATGTTTCCCTCATCTCCCAAAGAACATTAGTTTTCTGTTGCGCCTCCAAAACACGGGCAGCACCAGACTGCAGCACATGTGGTCAGGTTTGGAAGAAAGGTTGTCATGCAAACTAATGTTGGGGGGAAATCTCCACAGGATTTGCTTTACCACGTCAAGTGTGAACAGCTCTGAGGCTCCAAATATTTCCAGCCATTCTCCTCCTGATTCCTTGAGGTTCAGCCCCTGCCTTCTCCAGGTGGGGCTGGGGAGATGCCCCTCTTGCAAGCCCAGGGAAGCTGCTGCCAGTCAACGCAGGCACGGGTTAGATTCGACCAACGGCATGACTTGGACGTGGTGCTAAGTCCCTGCCTGGGCTCATGTATGCTAGGAGAGACATGGCTCCATTCTGCTCTCTGGCTTCCTCCTCTTCTCGTCCTAAAGAGAAGCCGGCTACTGCTAAGGAAGTGGGCTGGCTTTTCTCTCCGGTCTGCTTGACTGAGAATGTATCCAGGCCAGTGTTCTGGCCTGCCCAGACAAAGGAAACCCAAGGTTCCCAATGGCAGAGAAGCTGGCCCTGCATTGGAAATGCTTGCCTAGCAGTGCCTGAAATGTGTGCTTTTTATGTGGAGAAGATGGTAGAAGTGCTTTCAGGCAAGTTATTTCCCACAGTTATTATGGGAGGGTACAACCCTTCTAGTACTCTGAGTGGGTTCTAACTGGCCCCCTCCCCACAAAGACGGTGATGCTCCTGCTGTTGTTCTCTTCATTTCTATGCCACCCCAAAGCCAAAGCACTCTGCATCGTTATCCTCGCTGTAAACATAAACCCACAGTTTGCAATCTGGGCCCTTTCAGGACTTCATCGTGACCGTGGTGTTTTCCTTCATGTGGCTGGTGGGTTCCTCTGCCTGGGCTAAAGGACTCTCTGACGTGAAGGTTGCTACTGACCCGGACGAAGTGCTCTTACTGATGTCAGCCTGCAAGCAGCAGTCCAATAAGTGCTTGCCGATGCGCAGCCCTGTCATGTCAAGTTTGAATACCTCAGTTGTAAGTATTTTAATTTATTTCACTGAAGAAAAGCATGAACACACACACACACACACACACAGTGGGCAGTCTCTCCACATGAGATCCACCAAGGGTTTTCCTTTCCCTGCCAAATGACTGGGGTTCACCAGGAAGTCCACCCCTGAACCTAATGCAGATGCTCATGGGAGTGCAAAGATCCCTAATCTGAACAGGTGACCCTAGTAAGCCGACATGACGTAATGTTACAACATAATGGTGGCAAGTGCTTTACATTACAAGGCTGTTATTTGAAATTCAAAACCGAAGGGCTGAACTAGATATTCCTTCAGCTCAGGTGTGGGCGATTGTCTCACCCATTCTCCTGATTTGGGTCAGGACCATGGCACTTCAGGTGAGAGAGTTTGCGCTTCTTCCCATACTCTGATTTTTGCCCTGAAATTTCACCACCTTGTGGGGCAGGGAGTTTAACAAGAACAGAGAAACTGATACTGAAATCAATGGAGATAGAGGGCTTAATACCCCCACCCATGCAGGGCAAATGGGAAAGGTGGGAAAACATCCTTTCCCAAAGTTCCACAGTCCCGATACGGGCCAAGTTCATGCTCATTTGCAGGACGCAGGGGAGATATTCATGCTTCGTTTAGCTGTGCCCAATTAAATGACATTTAGTTTGCCCAGACATGTCCTGTAGAACATGCAAAATAATGGAGAATTTGGGGTTCAAGGGATTTCTTACTTACCTGTGCTTAAAGAAATCAACACTGCACTGTTGTTATTGTTGTCATCAGCACCTTCAGGAAAATTACCACTGGTTCAGTAGAATTTTTGGATTGAAAGGGATATACCTCAAAGGCTGTCACAAAGAGGAAGGAAAAGCTCTCTTCTCATCCATTCCAGAATGCAGAACACAGAATAATGGACTTAAGTTAAAAGAAACCAGATTTAGACTAGACATCGGGAAGACTTTCCTCACTGTAAGAGCAGTAAAATAATGGAATCTATTACTTGGGGAAGTTGTGGGCTCTCCCTGGCTGCAGACATTCAGAGAGTCTGGACAGGCATCTGAATGGGATGATGCAATAGCAGAGGGTTGGACCTGATGGCCATCTGGCCCCTTCCAACTCTACAATTCTATGATGCTATGATACTTTAACAATGCCTTTAATAGGAAAGTTAAAAGGCTGAACAGAAGGATGATCACCTTTAATAATAGCATTTTAATGGCAGAAGCTACAAATACTGAATGTCCTCTTTGGATCAGAGCCCACCTGCTTGGAAAAAAGTTTTAGACAACCTTTAATAGATTCTTGTTTACTTGAATAATCTCTAGCTATAGAATAGCAGCTACATTATTCAATTATTTCAAGCATCCTTAGGAGTTGTAGAATGAAAATCCTGAACCAAGAAATATTGTGATCCTGATTAGCTAAAGGGGGTGGGGGCATTGGAAGAGACAGAGAGAGAATAGATGAGACAAGACAATACAAGATAGTGGAAGCATACAAGACAATTAACAGCTTACTCTGCTTCTTATTTAGGTCTTTGGATTCTTGAACTTTATTCTGTGGGCAGGAAATATTTGGTTTGTTTTCAAGGAGACTGGCTGGCATTCCTCGGGCACGAGGTACCCCCAAGACACCATGGAGAAGCAGTCCAGCAGCTATAACCAAGGCGGCTACAATCAAGACAGCTTTGGGCCAAGTGGCGGGTACAACCAGCAGGGGGGCAGCTTTGGGCAGCAAACCAGCTACGGCCAAGTGGATGAATTCGGCCAGCAGCCGCAGAGCTTTAGCCAGAGTGGTCCAACTTCGTTTGCTAATCAGATATAGCACGTGCTGCCTTCTGAGGGCTCTTTAATCAAGCATTAGATGTGGAGATTTCAAACACAGTGGCAGGCAGCAGATTTTGAAGTTTTTAAATAAATGTGACATAGAGGTTCATCTAAATCAAAGGTCTACGGGTACCAACCGACGAAGGTGGGTTGTGGTCTTGTCTGTTTATACGCGATGCATCCTCTCCTTGTGAATAGATGATTGATGATATATTCATCACAGGTGGTAAATTGAAGTAAATAATTGTTGTATGTACTGTATAGATACCTTTACAGTAGTTTTGTATGTGTATGGTAGCAGCATTTTGTACCCTTGAATCTGATATTATGCATAAAACCATTACAATAGAATTAGATTTTCTTCTGCATCTGGGTGAAGAACAAAATGTGTTTTCAAATTATTTCTGATGATTGCTCTGTATAATTCAATGCATGCACTCGAGCTCCTGAGTTTTCGGCATTGCCTGTCTGTGTTTGTTCTCGCCTTTTTTTCCGTTCTTTTGATGTTCTTCCTGATTAGCAAATTCACAGTGTGGCTTAGTGCATGAAGCTGCATCATTTTCATACCAAGAGAATGTTATGGGCTGTGTACATGCATTTTTCAGTACCACCACTACTCTTTTTAATTGATTTATTTGTAAATATAACGTTTTAGATTATGTATGTATGTATGTATGCCTATTTTATATACTTTGCAGAGTTGGATCAATGGCTTACCCAAATCCTGAATGCTGCATATAACTAAAACAGTTTTCCTTAAAAGGGTATTCAAAAAAATATGCTGTTAACCAACCAATTATTTTCTGTTTAATCAATATCTCTATTTCTATTGACGTTTTGTGATTCTTTGAACGTGAGCTGTGTAATATAAGGACCAAGTAACTGTGTTTACATGTTTACAAAGGTATTTATTTAATTACGGTAACAGAGGTGCAGATATCAGTAAGTAAAACTATATGAGGAAAAATACCACCTTGATTAATAGTGCAACACAACATCTAGTGCTGTAGAAACTACGAAAGAATACTTTATCCTACATTGCTGTTGATGACGAAGAATGTTTGTTCTCTCTATGCTGTTTTGAAATTGCTCAGTGTTCAGTCCAGTCACTGCTTGGTTTGGTGCTATCTGCAAGCAGAATGAGGGTGTCAAGAGGAAAATACCAGCAACCAAGAACATAGGGCCAGCTTCTTAGTAGAGAGAAGAGCTAAGTTGGAGAGCTGGTTTCCATTCAGCCTGCAGTTTCCTTTTGCTCCATGCCAAGAGCACAGAATCAGATTACTGCAGATAGATAAGAAGAGCTTTCTTCCCTCCTTCCAGCATCAGAGAGGCTGCCACATACATAGCACCAAACTCTCAGTGCTCCGTTTGAGAGCAGCCTCTCCCAAGTTGCAGGGAAAGACTGGGCTCTGCTTTTGTTATTTTGTGGGCTGAGTACAGGATAGCTGTTGGGCAAATTGAACAAAGCATTTCCTAACTAGCCGGGCTAAGCCTGTCTCCAGTGCTAGTCAGCTCAGGTGCTTGCTTCTCTACACATAAGTACTGCAGGGAAGAGATAGGGTCAGGCAGGAATTAAGGACCTTTCCTTTGTCACAAATCTAGCTAATTGAAGTACTCATCCCTGGAGGGAGAAAAGGCTGAGAACTAATTTAGAACACGCTGGAGACTGTGCAGAAAAACCAAGATCATCTTAGCCTCTCTTTTTCTTACTCAGCAGTCCACAGAAGCACACACTATTACAACAACAACAAAACTGAACATCTGCATTTCTAAATGAAAGTGTAATTGTCTATAATATCATTGTATGAGCTGTAAATGTTCAAAGCATCTTTAGCATAAAGCAGCATAGTCATTTATATGATTGTTGTAACCAATGTATGGCTGCTCAGTGGACGAATCAATATTGTGGTATCTATTGGACCCTAATAAATAAAAGGTTATTGCATACAATGCTTGTTTGAAGGAACATGGTGCTGTTGCAGCCATAAGCTATAGCAACCCTGCTTGGATCTGCACACATGCACAAAAAAGGAAATACCACGGTATTTATTTATTTATTCATTTATTTCTCATATTTTGCACTCTGGGAAAATTAAAAAAGTGGAAAGAATAAAATACAAAACTAGAAAAGCTTAAAAAACAGTGCACGCAACATAGAAGTAAATACAAATTTATATAAAAAGTGCTATAAAAACTAATGTGCAGAATGCCTGGAAGAAAAGAAATACCTTTGCTTACACTGAGAAGGTAACACTGTAGGCACCAGGTGACCCTCCAAAGGGAGGACTTTCCATAATGGAGGGCCACAACTAAGACCCCCCTCTCTTGTAGTCTTCAGTAGGGGCATTCAGTTGGCTTCAGGGTCCAAAGGGGGAGGATTGTTTAGATACTTTGGTAGTTAGATACTTTAGATAGTTTAGAACATAAAGGTCAACACCAATCCTTTGAATTAGGTTTGGAAAAAGACCAGAAACCAGTCTATTCGGTGAAGCACTGATGCATACACCAACTGCCGAGTGCTACAGGCAGAACTCTTGTACCGTCCTGCTTGAGGGCTCCTGTGGACAGCCGGTCTGCCCCTGTGCAAAGCAGGACTGGACTGGATGGAGCACTGATCTTATCCAGCATGGTTTTTCTTATGTTCTTATGAGTATGCAACATACTCCTGAGTTTTATGCAACTGTCCCTCAGAGAGACTGGAAAGGAGGAAACATTTCAGCTACACGGAGATTACACCATGCTACAAGTGACTGCACAGATCTGCATTGTTGATAATTGGCAATTTGCAAAATTAGGGAATCAATGGCAATTGCATTGTGCAAAACATTTGGCATACACTGCTAGGATGTTAGCAGCAGGTACAATTGTTTCAAAATCCCCTATGTAAACCTCTGTCTATTAAGTTGAAAAAAAAAAAGTGACATTTTCATTCCAAGGCATAAGACTGCAAGAAAAACCCAACAGGTTCAGACCATCATCTTGTCTAACATCCTATTTCACGGTGGCCAAGCAGCTGCCTGCAGGAAATCCATGAGCCAGGCATGAGTTTTGGAAGTTTAATGTATATTTTCTGCTCCCCAACAAGTGTGTCCTTGTTCACAGTTATCTTGAGATCCAAGTTTATAGGCTGCCCACCCTCACATATGGAATGCTCTTTTCAGATAATCTATACACAATGTTTTTTTAAGCCTCACTAAAAATATATATGAATTATTCTCTTCTCGATGGTCTGGCAGAATGGTGAATGCAAAACAACTGAGAAAAGTGGTAGGAACAGATGGAGGGGCGTTGAACAGCTGGCCGTTTACGGCCTCCTTGAAGCTCAGCACTTAACCTAAACACATCATTTGCCATATGGGCAGACCAATCCCGAATAAGACACAAAATAACATATTTAACAGAGGATGGAAAGCATGAATCATCACCTATTTTCAGGGTTGTACAACCCTATTTTAGAGTCGTGGTAACTTTGTTCTCTGTGGAATACAATCTACATCATAATCTGAAAGTATGTTAAACCTTCCTTCTCCCAAAAAACTGTAAAGGAATTCTCAGCTTTGACACCACAAAGTTCTTCATGTCATCAAGAATTCAAGAGAGGGTGGTTTGCTAAGAACACTTAAGTTTGAAAAGTGTCTGTTTCAGAAAATGTTTCAGCTTGATCTTCTGCGACTCTCTGCCTTCAGAGGTTGTATTTCAGTATATTTGGGCGATACTTCCTTCTAGCACATTTCTTGTATGGTCCTTATACTGCATTGGTTACAAATTGCAAAGGGATGAAAATATTACAAACAGGTCCCAGAAGAGCACAGTGCAGAAGACACAGCTTCTCCCTCACTTCCTCCCTGCCGGCTGCATCTGCTTCATCCGCCCTGGATGTGCTAAGTAGCTGGGCAAGCGCAAGGTTGCCCTGTGCTGATACTTCAGCACAATCCTGGGTGCACTTACTCAGCGGTAATTCACCCTGTGCTCAGAGAAGCTTATTCCCAAAGTGAGCGTGCCAAGAACGAGAGCCCTGTTGCTTACTTCCAAAAGAACCTGCTCTTGGGCTTTCCCACCCGTTCCTTCCAAGGGCAGTCCCTCCATCCCCCTGAAATGCTAAGCAAATGGTAATCCACACTCAAGGACTGAGGATGAGTTGAGTGTATGGCTAAAACTTGTGCTGTCACAGCCTGTGAGCTCAGCTGCACTGACAAACCATGGCTTGGTAGCTACAACCAACCCGCAAAGGGAACCCGTGGTTTTTGGTAGGGTTGTGAATGGTGGATTTTGAAAAATCTCAGCTGATTGCAGGCAGCACAATAACCCATGCTCAACAGCAACGAACTGTTCAACAACAGCCCATATTCAACTCTTCAGTGTGGGTTGTGATATTGTCTGGACCCAGTGAGAGAGCTGGGAGGCCCTGCTAATGGAGTGATTTTAACATAGCAGTATGGAGAGTGGATCCCGAAAGGAAGTGAGCAGCAGCACCTTCTGCAAGAGAAGCCTTTCTTCTCAAGGAAGGCAAATCCTGGATCCCACCCATAACTATCATTTTTATCACCTGGTATCTCTTACCTTCCCTCCAGGGTTTTCCTTTATGCATGAGTTTGAACCTACAAAGTATCACTTGTCAATGTATATCCCGTGCCTCATGCAAAATATATTAATCAGTCCTATAATTCTGTTTATTAGTTCCAAATAAGAATTTTTAGCTATAATCCCCACATTCCTGGAATAAGCCCCGTTGAGCTCAGTGGGACTTACATCTGAGTAAACATGCATGGGTTGGGGCTGTTAACCAGATTAATTGAAATCCATCATCACAAGATGACATCAACACTATAATAGATACCCATTCATTACTGTTAAATGCTCCATCAGCTGAGATTAACGTGTTAATTATCTACTATGTATATTTGTTAAATTATCTACCTGTATGTGCCCATAAACAGTATCTTCCATTCCATTGTTGTGGATTTTATGTTTGGAAGCTGTCCTGAGACGCTGTTGTAA